TTGACCACATCTAGTCTGCATGGTACGTTTATTTACTGTTGAGCTGTCTACCTGCTTGTTCACTTGTGTGTATACGGAGGTGTAAAACGCTGCTACAACTGTGGGCTGGTCCAGCTCACAACCTCAGTCCAACTGAAGAAGCAACAGATGTACCTAAAAAAATGTAGCTAGTTGGGTAGCTAAATCATACCCGGCGGAAGCATCACAGATGAAGTGTCGCGCATACGGATACGCATACGCTCGGTGGATGTTTGCCAACCTGAGACATCTGTGGCGCCGAGGCGAGATCCGGCTGTCTGTAAAGGGTCGACGATACGCTGTAGCAGTTAAGCCAGTCCTACGGGAACAGGATAAAAATAGATTGTCGGTGTACGAACACCGCTGTCTACATCGCACTGAACGAGACTGGTAGGACAATCGAACGAACAACGATAACGTTAGACGCAGAGTATTAAGTAATCACGGTTGGTCACCGGAGAAAGTGCTCGACCTCCATAGATTACGCTGGTTGGGACATCTGTTGTGCATGTCACCAGACAAGTTGCCACGGCGAGCGATGTTTACTGAGGCTGGTAGTGAGTGGAACAAAGCCAAGAGTGGTCAAAATAAGACCTGGCATGAGGGTATAAAAACCCGTCCTGTTGGGCCCCCTGGATGGGGACCTCGGGATGATCGTAACCGNCCGGTAGTTGGAGACGCTGAGTGCGGCAAACAGTGTCGCTAGTGCATCTATTCAATTTAATTGCAACTCCAGACCTAATGAATTCTCTATCTTCTCCTTGACTCTCCTCGTAACATTCCATTCTTCCTCCCGCTGTTTCATCCAAATGGACCGCCAAAAAATTAGGGCACAAGTATACTAGATTAATGGTTGTAAAAAAATGAAATGAACTACGAATGTCCCAGTCTGTGTATACGGTGATGATTATTCATATTTATGGAAAGCAGTTATTCCTATGCCACATAGATAGATCCGGCAAATAGGTGCACAAAAGTATGGGACACGGACAAATGGCCTCGGAACAACAGCACTTGGTCAACAGTCTCTCCACCAGTCACGGCTCGGATACGAGGGAACATACAAGCCAGGCGGATAGTGTGATAGTGTGCACACAGAAAAATAAACAAACAAACAAACAGGAGAATGCTAAACCAGACTAAACAGAACGGCTAGGAGTGATTCTATCACGGGCGGTATAGATTTCGTTGTGTCGTGACGGAGCGAGCGAAGAAAATCTGCAGTCTTGGCTTCCTGAGAGTGCTATCAGAAGGACTATAGTGCAGGACAAACAGACATGAGCGGAACAAGTGGGATTTTAGGAAATGTAAAAAAGTGGCAGTCAGGTTTCTATATATATATATATACACACACACACGTACAGTGCATGTATGAAAGCAAGAAGACACCAGTAGGTTCGCTGATTCCGTTGATATCTCCGGTGAGCAACATATCTTGTTTGGGTGAGGTATTCGGCGCAGTGAGCTCAATGTGACAAGCCGGTTAAATAGACTGAGGCGAGCAATGCTGAGGTCAGCCACAAAGTTTTAGGCAACTGCGGTCGCCCACCAGGGCAAGTGATCGACCTCCATAGATTACGTCGGTTGGGGTATGTGTTACGTGTGTCACCAAATGGATTGCCACGGCGAGCGATGTTCACCGAGGTAGGTAGTGGATGGAATAAAGTCAAGGGTGGTCGAACTAAGACCTGGCATGACGGTATGAAAACCGTAACTAGGAGTCTCGGTTACATGAGTTCCGCTAGGCTCCCTGGATGGGGACCTCGGGATGATCGTAACCGATGGTTAGAGACACTGAGTGATATGGTTGGGTGTGGTAAACAGTGGCGTTCATGCAATTTCTCAATTTCTCAACCACAATAGTCTACTGAACTTTTTAATTTTCTCTTCGATCCTACTTTCAACCTTCCTGTCTTTCTCCTATTGGTCATCTAAATGGCAGTCAAAGACAGCAACCAAAAGCGACGCTCGAAAGTGCATGGTTGTTTAAACTGGAAACTGAAACACAAATAAGATGGATTAGCAAAATGCCGTGTGGATGACCGTAACATGATCGCGTTCAAATATGATATCACTGGTATGAACGCGGTAACTTACCGGAACCACTGAAAAACCCACTGCTGGATACAGTGTCCTCGGGGCCGTATTCCGGATATCGGGATGTGGAACTGGGGCCGGTCCCAAGCTGTTTTTCTTGCACCTGACGAGCCTGATCCATGGCGCGAAATAGTCTATCTCTGCAAATGCGTGTGTGCAGGTGAGACGCAGTCGAACAGCAGTGTATCAGGACGAGAGAGGTCGAAGTGTTTGAGGAAAGGAAAAATAATAGAAATAAGCAACGAGTGAGTTCAGTTCACGAATCCATTCATGGTAGTAACAACAACAACAACAACGGGGAACGGGAAAGGAACTCACAGTGCGAGATGGGCTGTTCCGTAACACTATTTTACTGTTGAGTAAGAACAAAATCAAAGTTTTATGGTGGGAAATACTTACAAACGGTTGCTTTTTCTTGTCCCATAGGGTTTAGCACACGTGGATCGATATACTGTTCATAGAAAGATGAGAAATGTCACAATTTATCCTTGTTTCGTGCATTGCTACGGATCAAGAATCAATGGTGGGCGCGGATACAACGTGTGGTAGTAGAGAATTCCAAATGGTGCACACTCTGAGAGTGAACGAATGACGCCGGCAATCTTGTCGACATTTATGGAGCACCAATTTGAATGAGATTTCTTATTACACACCTAGGTGTGATGAATAGTGATGATGGTCACGAGGACCTGCTGTTCAGTGGTTGAAATCGGCAACCTAAGCCCCGGAACTTGGAGTGGTGAACCACACAAGGCCCCGATAGGTTAGGTGTGGTATTGAACCGGACGACAGCAGAGCTGCCTACCACCAAATTCGGGTGGCGATGGCGGGGCTCGAACCTCGGACCATAGGGTCCAAAGCACGCCGGTGACCGACTAAACCACTGCGCCACCACCGCCGTTTGAGATGAGTGTTGGGCGATAAGATGAACAGTGAACGACACATGTGATCCGGGTTTTGCATTATTTGATACACTAAAATCAAGTCCCCTGGAATTCAGGGATACTATGTGGAGTACAACCTCAATGATTCCAGTCTTTCCACATAAGTCTTGGAATGCAGTCCTTGACCATTTTGATGGCCGTTCTTCGTGGACGTCCCAGAATCGTACGATCGTGCTGCATACGCTCGAATGGCATACTCTATGTGGGATCGAATGTAGGCTGATAACAACCGTGGGAACAGCCTAGGTTAAAATTAGCCAAATACTCGGTTTAGCAAACCAGCATGTCCTACAGCGGTGGACGACGCCCTGGAGCAGTTTAGAGAACAACTTAGTAGGTCGTCTTGAACAATGACACCGAGATCCTTCCCATTCGAGGCATACAGAAGTTGTTGATACCTCGGGAAATACGGAAACCGAGTTTTGTGGCGAAGGGATACGACCCTGCATTTTGCTGCATTGAATTCGATCGCGTTTTCGATCGGTTATTGATTGATAAGCAGCACCAAGTGTTCTCTGAAGTGCCAGCAAGTCCTGGGGAGAACAGTGTTGAATTAAACTGGCACACTGATTGTGCTGATGACCGGCTTGAGCGATACGTTCAACACTTCGAATGGCATTTTACAGCCTGCCAAACAAAGAGTGAAGCCATATTAGTTGTCAAAACTACAGTATTCCTGTCGCTTAGGCGACTGGTTAAGATAACTGTTCCAACTATCAATTGAAGGTTTCCACAATCAATTGCATAAAATCATTTCTTTTTTGTATATATCGCATTGCAATAACAGGATAAAAAAACAGCAGTTGAAGTGATCGACGTGCGTGAACAGCTCGTACAATTACCGGTCCCAAATCAGTTCGAGAGAGAAGGGAATAATACGAACCGAAAACAAATTAATTCTCTCATCTAAATAAACCTGATGCAAAACACATTCCTTTACTCATAAAACCTATTTTGCCTCCATGGAAAAGACAACTCTCGATACCCTATGAAGCACACGACATACAAAACCCGTGTTTCTTCCGCAGTCAATAGTCGACCGTTCTCACTTTGAGATGGCTAGTACAACCACATTTTGGTAGGTAAACTATGGAATCATGGAATCATTGGTCTCAAAGGGGTTTGCATCTTGGTTGCAGACTGGCCATTGCATAAAGTTGACCACACCGAGCAAAATCAAAAACAACAATAACAGCAGTAACAACAACATTGGTGGATAGAAGTATTACCAAGTTGAAATATAGAGTCGTNAGAGTCGTTTCGTGAGCTGCTGACTGAAAACGGATACAAACCGGTCCAAACGGTATGTTTGGTATGGTCTCAGGAAGAGCTAGCTCGGTTTGGCCGTTGGTTCACTGAACCATCATTGACCTTTCTCCTTTCGCTGTCCCCCTCTCTCCCCGACTGGAAATTCCTCCTTCTTTTCTGATATCAGATCAGCAACAATCCGAGGTGTTCACTTCATTCAAAACAACTTTTCTTCGTCACTGAAGTGAATGTATTTCCACATGGTACGTGTGTGTTTAGCTCCTGATTCAGTGGTGCGGAAGCATTTAGGCCATCCAAGGCTTTGTATGAGTAAAGCTCTCAACCGGGACATAGAACTGGTGAGAGTGAAGATTATACGAACCCGTACGTGTTCACCCGATTTCTTGGATCTTTTTGAAAACAAAATAATTACCTGTTGGGCACACATTGTTCGTTACGGTCCAACAAATCCAACCAGCTCTTGAAAACCGGATCTAACTTGGTGGAGCTATGTTATTTCACCCTTTTCAAAATCTGTTAATTCATTATTTGTGTGGTATTGCGCGGATAGAATTTGATGTGAGTTCTGCAGCCAGTGCGCATCCAATGCGAATGGAGATAGAGGTGGGGGATTGCCAGCTAGGAGACACATCACGTGCACCAGTGTACAGGTCTCACGTGATTCCAGTTCTCAAGTGTTTGTCAGTCGCGAAACTTACAGACGGTACAGGGTTGTCTGGTTTTGTGGCATCGGCAAGTCGCAGGTACATCAAAATGAGGGGCTCGTCCTATACTTTAATATTATAATTATAATTATAATTGGCATAGAATTAGTTTCGTTCTGAAATTTGGCATGTCATGTTGCATTTGGTTACCATGACCAGATATGAGTCTCGTTAGAAAGTGCGGCAGCCGAGGGAACGAAGGGACTCGTGCATTTATCGTACACTGTATGTAAAAACAGAAAGGATTACACAACCAGTCAACATGTGGACGTAAACAATGAACACGAAGCCTTAGCGATCGATCAAGGCTTTGATATGATCGGCACTGGTTACTAAAAGAAGGGGAATACTGCAAGTACGTAACCAAATCAATGCGACACACCTACTTTATGCTGTGTTGGCGCTATGCCTTCTTCGGATCTGGCTTTCGGCAACTTCGTATATTGATTATTGATTCCAACAAATGTACGCTCCCAAACAGCCGGAATGTACTTTTACTCGATTGTAAAGGATGTTGGACAGGGAGAGAAAAGTGGACCGAGGGTAGAACCCGATTCGGACGAAGGCCACAGAGACCTCGGTGAAGAAGCTTCAACTGAAAACTGAGAGTGAAATTCACCTGGGGAGATTACTGAAACAATGCTTAGTTGCTTCGACCAATCACGGCTCATCAGTGAGTGGTCCTAATCACATTTTCGGCACATTCAACCAGCACTCGTTCCGTACTGCGTGTTGTCCGACCCTACAAAACTCTTAGTCCAATGACTCGGCGCCGCTTCCCCCTCCTGGAACTGCGGAGAAACTAGACTTCACCGAGGCGTTTTCGACCTTTCTCTGAATTGTCCCCCTCCATACACACACACACAGTCTGGCTGTTCGGAGGTAACGTTGTGCAAAGCAGCAAACAGATCGGGATGAAAGCTAAAAACACGAGCGAGGGAGAAATCACGAGGAGAAAACACAATGTAATTGCCGCTTGCCACGGGCTGGCTGTATCGTGCCCACACTGTGTCAAAATCATGTGAGACAAAGCGGACTATAGATCGACTTACACATTATCAACTGCACAATCTTTAGCAGCCGTTCGAGCCAAATCGGAGGCGAGAGAAGTGTCAGCCCCCTCGGATCCCGCGGCTACATCCAACGAGGAACTGCTGTCGTCAGACAA